ACGTCCTCCCAAGTGGAAGTTTGTTTTGCATCGAGGTTATAAAACCATGATCTAGTAGTTGGGTCCAAAGAAAGAGGGAAAGTACATGCATATAAGAAATAGTCAACCCCTTTCAATGCCATAATTCCAAGAAAGCTCATTAAGTGAATCCTAGGATTTCCGCAACCTTAAGGATTGGTAAATCCGTAGTCAAGAACTTTTTTGGGAGAGTCTTGCCACTAGGTTGTGGTGTAAGATCATAATTGAAGAACTTAATCCCTAAGCTATCTTGAATGACAAGTTTCTCCAAGGCCTCTAGTCTTTCGACTCTTGCTTTTTCTTGTAGAATTTTTTCTTTTTCTTTCTCTGCTTTTACTTTAGCTTTTTCTGCTTTTATATGAGCCTTCATTTGGGCTTCTTCTTCTTGTAGGGCCTTTAGGTTTTGGAGTTCCTCTCTAAGTTTCTCCAATGCTGCCTTTTCACGCATGATTGGACTAGGATGCGAATGTGGAATATGATCTACTAATGTGTATCACGAGAAATTGCGTGGGTTCACTGAAAACCCTTTTTGCCAAGCATTCAAATAATAAATTAGTCAAAATGTTTATTTTTTTATCCTTCAAATACGAATTCACTTTAAGCAAGTTTGTTGATGAAAAATGTCAATAAATTCATGAACAATCAATAACGAAATGCCATGATTTATGTTGACTTCAACAAGGTAATCATCTAAGGATTTTACTTTAGGTGAAGTGTTTTCGAAAAAGGTAGAAGAGAATGAAAAGGGAAAGTTGGATTGAAAATGTTCATCAAATTTTTTAGAAATATTAATCAACCCAAATAAACTCCTTAAAATGATCAATGTACTAGAATGTGGTATTTGTTGATCATTTAGATTTCAATAGAGATCTTTATATTTTTTTAAGATTCTCATATTGTTCATCTTTAAAGGATAATAACGATTGGTTTAAATAGAATGGTTGCCTCCAAACGCAAAAGCCAAGAAATAATTAAATCATTTTCTCGGATTTATCATTCATTATTCTCTCTTCTTTTTTGAGTTTTTCTTTTTGTACTATACTCATTTTTGTAGAAGGGTTTCTCATTATTATTATTTTTTTGAGGAAATTATCCCAAGTAAGGTTCTCGAGATTTTCTTTTTTAAACCAAAAAAGAATTAAATATATTATACTCTTAAATCAAGGTTAATTAATTACAACTAAAAGATAATGACCATGAAAATAGGCACGTTTATGAATGGAATATTGATGACGTCCTATTAGGGGATGCGAACTTCTATGACAAAATTTATAAAAAGTAATGTCATTAGTTCGATTAAAAAGTACATAAAGGAATCATCGTAATCGAAAACAGTATCGCGCGCAATTTTCCGTCTTACACTAAGGTGAAGAGTGGAACTTTAAGGGTAGTGCATGCCACATGCTTTTTTTTATTTATTTATTTTTATTTTTATTTTATTTTATTGCGAAAATAAAATAAGAGAACGATAAAAAAAACATGTTTTGTTTTTTTTTTTAAAAAAAAAAAAAAAAAAAAAACGAACAAATTAAGGCAACTAAGTTAAACAGCAATGTTAGACAAAGAGATATTATTAGCACCAATTTAACGATTAACCTTAAAGCAGTATTATCGTTCTCTCCGTAAAACATTGCTTGTAACGAGTCAAAGTCAACATTGAACAGTGAGCGCGCACAAGAATTAGAGTTGCGTTGTAAAGTCGCGCTCAACTTAAAAACTTGCGCTTAGAGGGAGCACGCAACTTTAATAGTTGCACATGCCACCTGGCAGGTTTGACATTTTGATTTTTTTTTTTATTTATAAATTGAAATGCTTTTTTTTTTTTTTTTTGTGAATTTTTTAATATCTCTAGGTAACAAGTTGGAGTTTATTAAACTAGACACAAAACATATAAGCACATAGTCATGTAGTCACATAAGAATATAAACATGAGGAATAAAGCCTTTAAAATACAATGTCATTCTATGGTCAAGGTTTGGGTGTCTAAAGGTACCATACCTTAAGAACGATGCATGAATCAATCACCCAACGTGTTGACCCATGACATGGTTCTCCCAATATTTTGTTGGCGATATGGGTGGGATGATTGTTAATGATTTCGGGGTAGAAGCCTAGTGTTGGTGACCCCTAGTCAATTAGTCAATCCCCATTGTTTAAAGTGTGTTATGATTATGCACGATTCAATGTTGCTTATTTGGTTTTTACTTTTGTGAAAAAGGAAGATGTTATGTATTCCTGTCTTGCTCTCTAACTAGAGATTATCCAAGTTAGCCTTTCATTACAACTCATAGGTAACCTAAGTGGGCATACTTGAACCATAACCAAAAGCAAATCTTGTAACCTCTAAGTTTCCAGTGGAGTCGCCATTGTGAGGAGGGTAGCCCGTTGTTAGGGATCCCACTTCCTCTATGCCCATGACCCTTTAAAAGCCTAGGACTTTACACCTTTTAGGGTGTGATAGGATTTGAATTTCTGAATGTTTGGGAGACCTTGAGTTAGAATTGATTCCATCATTACTTTTTTTTATAAGAAACCAATAGAGATTCGCCAATGAGGTTTAGGAAAACTCATAAACCTCGTTCATGCCTTTCTCCCAAGTAGTATTCAAGGGATAATTAGCATGAACCATAAGTTTACCCATGCCCAAATTGGTCTACTAAACCAGAAATGAGTTCGGGAGCGAGGGTACTAGGATAACGTTTCTTTTTGAGGGGAATTGCCACCCTAGCCCTAGTGCAGCCTCTACTAGCTCTTCCTTTTTCACAATTTCATTACCAAATAATATATGCAACACGAATCCTAAAAACTAAGTTAGTTGATTTTATTTACAAACATTAATAAAAAAAAGTCTACATTACAACGAATGTTGTTATTCTTTTTTAATTCAAATTCGTGAAAAAAACAAGAAATAAAACAAGATTCGCCTTGACTTAAGTGATAAAACAACAATTTATTATTCAATTCTAGCCTTTAATTAACGCAATATACTATGTGAATGAATTAAATAAAGTTAATTTAAATTGATCAGACAACACAAATTAATTGATTAAAGTTATTTAAACAAGAAAGGAAAAGAGATTTAACTAAGTGCTTAGGAAACTAACTATTCTCCTTTGTTTGCAAGATCTTGTTTTGGATGTTTATAGATCTTCCTTCTTCTTAGTACCTCCAAGTCTTCAATGGAATAAATTAGGGTTGGAGAATATTTGGGAAGATAGGGGAAAAGTAGTATGATAGCAAGAGAGTATGAGCGACTAGGGATTTTAGAGTTTAGGGTTTTTAATTCTGAATTTTCTGTTGTAATTAGGGCTAACGAAGACCCCTAATTTTAGGCGTAGAAATCTAGGTTTAGGGTTTTAGGGCCGCGGAGTCAGGAAGTGTGCAACTCTCAAAGTCGTGCTGGAGTGCCGATCGCAAATCTAGGACTTGCACGCGGCTGGTGCGCACGGTGCAGTTTGCCTTATACGATAACTGATTTTTAAAACTTCCATAACTTTTGATGAAGAAGTTGGATTAAGGCAATAAGATATCATTGGAAAGCTCTGAATGTCTACTTTCAAATGCCGTTGGAATAAGGTTAAAATCTGTTATGGATCAAATAATATGGCCATTTGAGTGCAAGGGTGTCGGTTTTAGGGCTTGGTTTAGTATTTTGATGATAACTTCTTTGTTTTAACTCGGAATTGGGCTTATAATGTACAGTTGGAAAGCTCTTTGAAAGGGATACCCATCTGTATAGTCCATACAGATATTAGGTGGTTAATTGTTCCGATTGGCTTGGTTTTCGACAATGTAAAATCTATTTGATCCAATCACTGCATTTGACGCATTTAAGTTCGTTATTAATCAAGACTAAACATGTATGAACATGTTTTAAGCCTAATTAGTAATCGGACTAGGCTTTTAGATCATTTTGTCTCAAATACGGGTTATAACTTACTTCATAATGCATTTCAAATTCTATAAACACTTCAACTTTGATCTAGCATGAAGAACGAGTTTTTGTAACATCATCGCACTTCCCGTCGAGACAGGAGGCCAAAAGTAGGTGTCTATAGCAACATAATTAAATTAACTCATTTAATGATTAAATTAATTATTTATTTGACCAAACTAGTTGAATGAATTAATTAACCATCCAATGAAATATAATTTATTCAACCAACCCTCATACATATTTGAATATTTCACCCATCTAAAGAAGAATAATATTCAAGCATAAATGTGAACATTCATGATTTTAATCAATTTCCAAAATTATTAAAACTCAAAATAAGTTCACTTTTCTATTTTAGCAAGTCAAAATTCCATCAATAAACCATTAAAGATTCAATCTTTGACTATTTTAAGGGTTCATAAATCACATTCAACATAAACTCATACATTTCAAGCAATCCAATTGCAAAAATGAACAATTTCCAAGTTTATGTGAATATTAGAGCAATCTAAAATATGCAATCAAATGATATCAAATACATGCTTAATAAGGAATAAAACTGCAGTAGACTAATGCCATAATCAATCTCATAATCCAATAATTACATGTCATAATTAATCAAGTTTAAAGATATAAAAAAAAATTCGTTCTAAACCAAAAACCCTCGAGAAAAACATATTTCTGGGCAGATTTTGGCCACTAGAATCCAAATTTTAATCACTTTGTGGATGATGGTTGATTTAGAACATCGATTCCAAAAAACACTATTTTTGAGTCGAAATCTAGGTTTGTAATAATAATATAGCAATAAATCGATTTTATTAGATAAAATCGTGATCCTAATCTAATTGTGTTGCTTATCCAGATTTTTAAATCTATTTAAATCACCTTAATTACTTTTTAGTTGCAAAAATTAAATGAACTTGGCTCTGATACCGCTGTTGGGTTTTACGGTGCACAAGCACCGTGCGAAACCAAAACTCGCCCCGAACCACATGCATAATTAATACAACTAACTAATAAACATGTAATTAATAAAGCAATAAACACATAAGAAATAGATATATAAAGAAGGAAAAGACGATCATACCCTTGAGGCAATTCTGCGTCGCACGAGCAAGAACCTAACACTACCACAAAAGTGGGAATAAGAAACACACAATACACAACAGTCAAGTTGGATAGGCGATCTTCTAGAATTTTACAGATCGCCTAAGTAAGATGAGCGCTTTATAAGTTGAAACTTATAGAGTGCCTTCCTTATTTAACCATTCTATATGATTTATTATTATTTTAATGAAAAAGTGACTTTGCAATATAAAGCGCCTATCTTAGTTAACAACTCTATTTGTTTTTAACATAATAATAAAAAATTAAAGAAATGATTACAAAATAATTAAAAAAAACTGAAAAAAAACCCTAGAGCTCCTTTGATTTTGCAATTAGTCGTTCACTCTCATTCCCCTCAAAAAAATTTCTTTCTCTCACCTCCTTTTCCTCCTCTCTTCCTCTTTAGATCTACCTAATTTGTTGAATGAACAGATGAACAGGGAGCCTCTCATCTTCTTCTAGCCCACCATAGAAGCGCGCACTCTACATTCACCGCAGACGTTTCCTCGAGTCATCTTCATTTCTTCTACACTCGATTATTGAAGACTATTGGTTATATTTGAAGCTGCTGATTTTAGGTAAGATGTTTCTCTTTGTAATCATCGAATATCAATTTCGAAGTTTTTTTAGTTTGAAAGTTGTAAATGATGATTGTTTTAGTTTATTTAACTTTATTGTTTCAAATGTATATAGTTTTGAGTTGATTTAAGTTTCTGGGTACTGGATTTTTGGGATTGTTTGTGCCGAATTTTTGCGGATTCAGAGATGAATTTTTTTTTTTTTTTTTTTTCAAGCTAAAGTTATCGATTTTATTCTAATTCTAATTTGATTTTCATTTTAAATTTTCGTTTTAATCCTTAATTATTTAAGCTCTCTAATTTGAGTAATTTCTGATTTTCATCTTTAGATTTGTTTTTTATTTTCAATTATATTAGATCTAAAATTTCTGATTTTCATTTTAAAATTACTTCAGATCTAAAGTTTCTATTTGGTGCGATTTGTTCTGATTTTGTGCGTTGATGGTGTGGTTGTGGGTGTTTTGTGCGGTTGCTCTAATTTTGTGCGCCGATGGTGGAAGGCTGGAAGTGTTGCTGTAATGGTGGCAGGTTAGTTTATATTTGTTCATTTTTTATATTTAGTTTCTAGGTTTTGAATGAGTCAATTAATTTTATGTTGAATTCGGTAGAGTCATCTGGGTTTCTAGCAAGGACATGATTGAAGTTGTATAAAATTCACTTTAAATTACATTGTAATTATAATCTTATCATTTGTTGTTACATGTTTTTACAGATTTATGAGTGGAAATTTGCTTGGCAACTACAGGCTTGACACAATCGGCTTAATTAGTTGTATCTTGTATTATAGAACTTGTAATTTAAATTTCTTGTTTAGTTGTATTATGGAACTTGTAATGCAAATTTCTTATAAGTAATTTAATTATTATAAATTATTTTAATCAATTTTATGTTATTTCTAGCTGCTACGATATTTTATAATAATTATAATATAATTTTTTTTTTATTAAAAAAAGTAAGAAAAAGAGAGCGCCTATTTTTTGTAGGCATTCTCTTTTTATATAGCTTTAGAATGCCTATCCTAAGATGTATGAAGTGCCTATTTGAGATAGGCGATCAGTATTGTGATAGATATAGAACGGCTCAAAGAGGCATTCTGTAGACTTTACAAGGCACCCCCCCCTCAAAAGAACGTCTTTGAGGCGTTCTATATTGCTTGTTTTAGGTGTTTTGTATTCCTATTTTTGTGGTAGTGTAGAACAGAGCGAGAACCTCAAGCGTGGTCCTTCCAATGGAGTCCACCCACGCGCCCAAACTTGGTCGGTATTAGTTGTTAGACTAATACACGACACTACTACAAGAATTTTACGTACTCCAAGGGTTTTCTCACGTTTTATGTAGAGATGCCCTTTTGAGTCCAACTCTTGCATTTAATTCCCTAGCCAAGCCTAGGTATTTATAGGACATGCATCTCCCATCCCATTGAAAGCTTTCAATGTGGGACTTTTTAAAGTTGAGAAAAGATAGCATTTAATTTAATTCTAAATTAAATTAAATAGTTAGAACAAATAGTTAGCAACACTTTTCCAACAATTACAAGGGTTAAGTGAGGAACAAAGGGAGGACCACATGGCCTCCTTATTCCCCAAGCATACCTAACTTCCACAAATCGGGCCAACCATGTGCGGCAAGCCAGTCGTGCTGACCCATGGTGAACCAGCCCGCACAAGCAGGCCTCGCATTTGATGTGGGCTGATGTGCGATACGGGGTTGCTGATGCTCTTGCTGGGCAAGCACCCCGGGCTGGCTAGCGCTAGCCGCAGTTAGCGAGGCCCAGCGTGTTAGCATGTGGTTGTCCTTGCTAGCACTTCTAGCACGAAAGCTCAGCCAGCAAGCCCCGGCCAGAATCCACATGGGGTTGCTTGGCTTGCGGCCTAGCTAGCGCTTAGGCTAGAAACCCTATATAGCCTAGCCCTCGCTTGGCTAGGCCAATATGAGGCTAGGGCTATGCGTTGAATGTTGTTTGACTTATTTATCATCTTCGTCGATTCCTTGAATTGACTCGACATTCGACGCTCTAAGCTCAGTATCCGACATTTGAGTACAAATTATCTTGATCGACGTATTAAGTCTTTCAGCCTATTTCATGGCCTTAGTTTGGTTGCACACTTGGGTGTGACCCATTGGGTTCAGTAAAAGGAAAGTTGTTTTTATTAATCTCACTGATCGGAAATGGCCTCTAGCCCGACTTTTTGATCACTTGACTTCACTGAATAATTAACTCCGTAATTAATTTTGAACCTTGTATTGGAATACTATACTTGTTCAAAGGATAATATTCATTTCATTTATACTCGGTGTGTAAATTCCCAACTCCAAAGGTTGGTATTTATAGGCAAATCATTCCCAATTCCCACAATAATCTTTCCATGTGTGAGAGTTGCTAAGGTGATAAAATAAGCATTTAATTTGCAGATTTTTCACCATATACCTCTGAGTTATTTTTTTATACACGATATACCCAAAAAATATTTGAAATTCAACATATACATAAAAATGTCACTAAATGCCCAAATAACTAACGAACGTTAACTCTGTTAGTCATGAAGCCTTAATTTGCCACGTGGCAACATATGATTGGTTGTCATTTAAATTAAATAAATTTTGAAAGAATTATTTAATTAATAATCATAAAATAAAAAAACCCACCCATGAGTTTCCCAGCCGCAGCCACCACCGTGTCACCGCCAAACCCCTGGCCGACAGGCTGACGTCGAATCGGCCAGAATCCCACGCAGGCGCCACCTTATACCCGACACCCACCTGCAGACCTTGACCCCGACACCCCACCATTTGCGACTAAACCCCAAAACCAGAATCCCAAAATCGAAACCCTCTCCCCTTCCCACCGCATGCGTCCAAGAATCCTCCCCCGCGCAGGCAAACCCTAATCGCCCCTCCTCCTACCATCTCCACCCCCTGGATAACCACGCAAAAACCCCAAATTAAAAAACCCTAAAATCGAAATATAGGGTTTTGATTTTGGGGTTTTTGGGTGTTAAGGTGGTGGTTTTTGGCTATGGTGGGCGGTGGCGACGTGGGGAAGGGGATCTGGGCTGCCGACGAAGTGGTTTCGGGGTGGTTGCCTAATTTTCGATTAAGATGGAAAGGCGGGGAAGGGTTTTAACGGTTCAAGATGAGGGTGGGGGCATGGTAGTTCAGGGGAATGGGCGGGCACCGGCGCGGGGTTCAGGCGCGTTAGGGAGGGGCTGCGATGGCGAGGAGGCTGGGTTGGGTGACGGTTGTGGGGAGGTGGCTGGGCTAAGGTGGCTGCAATGGTGGGGGTTAAAGGTGGTGTTTTGATTTTTTTTTTATGCTTTTTTAAAAAAAATTAATTAATTAATATAAAAACCGATAAGATGATGCCACGTGGCATAATTAACCCTAATATAAACGAAATTGACTATCGTTAGTCATTAAGGGCATATGGTGACATTTTTGTGGAACTCAAGTGTATATGGTGAATTTGAAATTTTTTTTTGGGTATATGGTGAACAAAAAAATAACTTAGGGGTATATGGTGAAAAATCTGATTAATTTAATTCTAAATTTGATTAAATAGCATGAATAATAAGCAAACGACAAGTGTCAATCCAAGGGAGGGGTTAGGTAAGGACCACAAACCCTTCCTTGGGGAGCAAGCAAACCCCCTACCAAACCCATGTGCACGGCACGACCCAACCTTAGGCCTCAAGGCATCCCGCACAAGCAGCCTTCTCCTTCGGTTACGCCTGCACTCGCAAGCCCAGCGCGCTGCTGGTGCTTGTGAGATTGCGGGCTGGTGTGCTCGCTGCTACTAGCGCTACGATGCGAGGCCCGCAAGACAATAGTCCCTGCTAGAAATCTGCACAAGCAAGTGCGGGCTGCTAGCGCTGGGTGCTGCTTTTTCTAGCAATGCTTACCCGCAAGGCTTCTTGGCCTAGCTCGCCCAGCCATGGCATGCGATGCATTTTGAGCTTGCAGCCAAGCTTTGCCTTGTAGCAGGCCGCCCGGCTAGCCTAGCCCTTGCATGGTCAGCTGCTAGCTAGGCCATTGCGAGACGAACCCTCTATCGGAATAATACACTTGTTCGAAGGATACCATTATTTTCAATTTCCTACTTGTCCTTCCGAACAAGTGTGATGTATATGTATTGCCCTTTTCCTATGTCACTTAATTCCCCTTCATGAACTATAAGGTAAGATTCATCGTCATCCTTATTACATCCAAAAGTGTTTCTCAAAATTCCGAGTTCAACTGTCAAGTACAAATGATTTCTAAAATCCATCTGAGCACGACCATGCATTTTCACAGTCTCGCTCTTCGGGAGGCCTTGTAAACAACAAAGACATATTACCTATTGTTAATAGAGACATTCCCAATCTTGCATTGTCAAGCTTCCCTTAATTACTAAGAGGCCTAGCTGCCTGAGTGTTGCCTTTATAATCCCCTTATACGGCATACGTTTGACAACATCAAAACATACTGGTACTGAAACAAGAGAACTTACAATACTCATGGTTGAGGAAAGAGGTACCGATAGCCATAATGAGTGACATACTTATGACGATTGTTAAATCTCTTAAATTATTCTTATAGGTCGATCCTATATAGTTCTAAACTTATACCTGTGCAAATGATTTATGACATTCATGTCCTTGTAGCAAAAGAAACAGTGATATAAATCATACTACACACTAGTCTCACATGGCCATTAGTCGTCCAACCTTCAAATAACCTTGATTAAGGATAATTTCGATATGATATTCAATGTTCACTTAATAGGTGTTACTTTATCTAAGACATTGTCTTGATACCCTACTTTGAATATCGTCGAATCGAATGGACTCATTATTTAATTCTAAACCACAATTAAATAGACATGGAATAATAATAACCATATTTATTCCACTATGAAACTTTTCAACGTTTCATCTTATGATAAATGGTTTTCCCAAATGTTTTAAGAGTAATAATCTGTAGAAAACATTTATAGAAATCACACACATATCTAATATGCTTGATTTCTTTTATGCAATTGTGAATGTTGTGGTTCACTTATTACATAGGTTTAGTTATCATTATTTTAAAAATCTTAGCATCTTCATTATCGAACACTTTCACAATAAGATGATAGAATTTTAAGTGTGTTATGGATTACATGTGATTTAGGATTTATTTCCCAAGTGATGGCTCCGACTCATTTTCATGATTCGAGACCTTCAACTTGGAAACATACAATCATCAAAGTTCAACAACAAACTATCCATTGAACGACTTCCCTTTTATTGCCTTAAGGCAGCAATGCTCTCAATATACTTTAATAGACTTCCTAATGATGCTTTGTTTGGATTTCACTCCAACAAATTCAAATTGATTTGGGATACCTTAATCATTTGTGATCATGGAAATTTACCTTAAATTTATGTACGTTACACATGGATGCAAGTCCCTGTTACGATTCTCAAGCGACGACGCATCTAAGCTCGTGCTTATAAATGGCTTCCTTATATATCATGGATCTAATCCTTGCTAAGGATGTTCTCAAACATCAATACTTAATTATACTTGCTTCCATGCATCAAGAACTCATCCTTTTACTTAACCAAGTACTTTGGATGTTCTTGATCATAATCTAATGATCCATTATTTAGATTCAAGTCGATTGGTACTTTATACTTGTCATGCTCTAAGCATGTAAGTCTTGTGACGTTCCATATCGTAGCATACATGATGGATTCAATTGCAGAAATATTCCCAATTTGATCTTACTCATGTGACTTTTAGCTCATCCAGTTTTACTGAGTCTTGCTAAACTGTTTGCTATATGATATGATTGAAAGTCTCTACTAGATTCTTTCATGTTTGACTTAGTATATTCCTAGCTAATACTTAGTTCAAACATT